CAGTAGAATCTTTTCCCAAGTTTGGGAATTTTGTTCAAGAGACTGCAGATTCCAGAGATAGTATTTTTTTTCCACATTTGGAGAAAGACAGATCCCGTTAAGTGAGCAGTTTCTCCGCAAGTGTCCTGATGCAGATCTTAAGCCTCAGGAAGTTTTGGTCTCAGTGACCATCCCGTGTTCCCGGAAGGTAAGGATGGCGTTCTTCTCCATTTCCCAGTGCCCCAGCATCAGTTGCTTGAGTGGGCTCCAGACAGACATATGTTTGCAGAGCGGGAAGCTCACTCTAGGAAGTGACAGAGGTCACTCTTCCCTGGAGGACTTGTGCACAGTCACTGTCACTGTGCTGTGGAGTCCCCTGCCACTTCTAGAATTAGGAGATCTTCCTCCCTCTTCCTCTGCCCCAAACTCTAAAAGTTGCTTTTTAACAGATTTTTAAGACGTTCTTTGTCCTTTCTGACTTCTTCCCTAAGTGGTACAGGTCTGCCTAGATCCTGTGGCCTAAAAGAAGCTAAAAAAGACATTAGCAGGGGAATTTGGAGGGGGAAAGCATGGATTTTGGAGTCAGATGCACCGAGGCTTGAGTCCTGGCTTCAAGACCTGAACTAATTTATGAATCACGCCAAGTCCAAGGTTTTTCATTTGTACAATGGAGAATCATGCCTGCCTTGTGAAATGTGACAGTTTAGGGGAGCTGCCCTCCCAAAGAAGCACACACGGAGTAGCTCAAATAATGGAGTTCATTTTCTGGGAAGTCTGAGACTAGAACTCTGATATTGGGGTGTCAGTAGTATTGATGTTTTCCTTTAAGGCCTCGGACCTTGAACATAGATGCCCATCTTCTTTGTCGTGGTCCTTTTCATATCTCTGTCCACTTGTAGTCTTAAAAAGACACAAGCCAGTGGCATTAGGGCCCTAACTATTAACCTCACTTTCACCTTAGCGCTTTGAACACCTTGTCCCAACGAACTGAAGTACTGGGTTTTAAAATCCCAGCATCTGAACTTAGGGGACACTTAGCAGAGCCTATAACAGAAGATGGGCTGAAATCAAATCACCCCTTTGGCATGGAGTGGTCTCTCAGGGGAGTTCCATTTGTGCCTTTTTTCTTCAGTGGGAGTTTGTGTCAGCCTTCAGACAAGCCCAGCGCCACCAGAATGCATTAGCAATTGTCAATTCTGGAATGAGAGTCCTATTTAGAGAAGGAGGTGACATCATTAAAGAGTTATCCATTTTGTATGGCGGTGTTGGTGCAACCACCATTGGTGCTAAGAACTCCTGCCAGAAACTCATTGGAAGGTAAGACATTGTCTTTAGCTTCCAGGTAACAGAACAATCCAATCTGTGGGAAGATGTAATGAAAAGAAGGAAAATACTTAAGCTATCAGAGTTTTATGGATGGAATCCCAACAGGATTTCATAATTATTTTCATGTTGCTTTTGAGCAAATTCAGAAGTGAGCTTTATATAATCTGTGTACATAGTGTGTGTAAGCACACAAGTTTCTGTGTATGCATGTGTGTCTTGTGTGTGTACATGTGTAGAAGTATATGTGTATATGAGAGACAGAGACAGAAAGGGTGTCAGATGCTCATTTCCTGGAGTATAAATTTGCATTCTTTTGTGGGGGAATATTTTACTCTGAAGAAAAACAGATCATGTGATAATCAGTTTCTAACCACCTCTTGTCTTATCTGTGGTAATAATAGCTAATCTTTCTTGGGAACTTATTAGACAAATGAACAGAGAGCAGTGACTCAGCACATGTGTCATAAGCCTTTAATGGGTCAGACTGCCTGGTGCATGTCTTAGTTCAGTCTCCATAACTGCATGAACCCAGACATTCTATTTAACAATATGGAACCTCTGTTTCCTTACCTGTCATTGTGAGACCCTGCAAGGGTTTTGTAAGTGAACATACACAGTGCTAAGGCAGGTGCTGCCATACAGAAATGTCCTA